CCTCCAGGACTCCACCTGAGTCTCGGCAGAGCTCCCGCAACCGGTAGGGCAACCTCCCACAAAGGCCTTGGCGCGGGTTACGGGCCACAGGCCCGCCTGCCGCCTTCCTCTCAGAACCAAAGGAGCAGACTTAGAGTGAGAAGGGCAGAAAGATAAAGTCTGAGACTCTCAGATCCTAGAAGGGTGCTCTCAGACTCGCAGGAGAGGGCCTTGGTATCTTCACTCGCTTGAGGACCCCGCAATGGCGGCCAAAGCACGCGATCGCCGGTCAACTAAAGTCAAACCGCTAGTTGCTGACTTTTCTGACGACCTCCTGGTTCGCCACAAGAACCCCCTTCCTCAAGCTGCAATGCCGCCTCCCTAGCCCAAGCTCCCACTACGCAGCCGAGTTCAACCGAGTCTCATAGAGTGCGTCACCCCCTTCGTACTATTCCTCAAAGTCAGACGAGCAGCGCACCCTCAATAGGTAAGTACACAGGCTTACAGGTCATCCTTCACACCTCTGACCGCTGGGACGAGCAGCACTTCAACCGGTAGGCAAGTCTTTCATCCCTGGTTTTTGACGGCGCCACCCAAATCTCCAAGTCGTAGCTCACATAACAGAAGTCCGGCCCGCCGCTGGCCGTCAGTATGCAGCGAGGTATCGAGTTTGGCGCAGAATCACAGCAATAGCTGCCCCACAATAACGACCCACACGGCTAAGCCTGACTGTGCCGTGTGCCCTAGCGTACGGGCGGCTTGAGGTCAGACCAGTACAAACTCCGAATCCCTTTCCAACGATTCGTTTGCGCGGAGCCCGCCCCCGCTCGAACCGGCTAGTCGGTAGGCAGTTTTCAACCTTCGTGGCTCTCCTTCGCTATTCCCGTGATAGTGGCTCCTTCCACCGATAGGGTGGGCAGGCACCAGCTAACGGTAGGCCTCCGACCCCGTGGCTGGCCTCCCTCTAATAAGTAGGGTCAGCATGGACCTACCGCCGGGACGTGGGAATATACACCCGCAGGTGCTGCCTGCTGTAGTGCCTGTTCTACTGCAGGCATAACCCGACTAGGTGAGTGGGCTCTTTCTCTCTCTCTCTCCCCCGTCCCACATCGCCCGTCCGCTCGTGGCCGTTAACTCGGTCTGGTCCTCCGCTCAGATGAGCGCGACCGAAGGCGATGGAGTCCCAGGGTTGGCTCAGCGCCAGGCCGGTTCGCAGACAACAGGCCGAGTGCGAAGAGCCGACGACGACCTCCGTGCTGAATGGGAATGAACCCACCACCTCAAATGTGGCTAGGTGCATTAGCACTTTGCCACGTCCTTCCCGGGCGCGACTCCTATTCCTACTAACTCCACTCCTACTCCACCAACCCCAAAACTAACCGCACTATTGAAGTCGCCGCGCTAGAAAACCTCAATTTTGCATCCCTCCCTGATCGTTTCTGTTAGGAACGGGGGAGATCTACGTTTTCCGCCGTGCCATATCCTTCCTCCGACACCCCACGCAGCACCTTTTCTTACTAACTCCTTATCTACTAACTTTCTTCTGAAACCGAGCCCGGAATCCAGTTCGCCTGACGCCAAAACACCAGATCAGCACCTTCGTTTGTTGAAAATGGTCGAGGAACGAACGATCAAACTAAATTTCGTTCCCGTTCGTTCTCGTTCCACCATAACTCGGCGCAGAAGTTTTTTCTCACTAACGCCTCTTACACTAACTTTCTCACCGAACTGACTTCACGAGCACGCTCGCAATGCTCGAAAACCTCCATCCCGGTCCTTACTTCGCCCGTTTTCGTTAAGGAACGGGCGTATTACGTCTCCCCACCTCCGCCATATCTGCACCTTCCTCCTCTGCACGCACCCGGCGCGTTTCCACGCCCTGATTCATTCCGGCCCCCGTAGCCTGTTCCCCCAGTGTCTACCCTGCCGACCCCCACAGTCTCGCTCCGCGGTTGCCCCCCTCCGTGCTGACTCTCACCACGCTAGCGCCCGTCACCCCGCGTCCGGGTTCGTTCAGTTTCCTTTGCCTCACTGCGCCAGCGCCCTCCACTCGCTGCCTGCCCGCTCCTTTGCTACTACGCGCATCCACCGCTCCTCCCTCCGGCTTACTACACATGCTATCCCGGCACACTTCCGCACGGTTTGCTGACTGGCTCAGTGATCGGGCCGACACTCCCTCTTTTTATACCGTCGGCCCGCCGGAGTCCATCCTCCCCCGTCGTGTCCGGGCACGGCGGACAGCGCATGGGGCAAAAGTTCCCCGCCCCTTTACTGCTCATACGGCCGCAGGCCGCACTCTTCCTAATACGCGTTCCTGGCCCATATTCCGGCCTATGTGCATGCCAGCCTCTGCATTGGGACTACGCGAATCTTCTCTATATCGTTCCGATTTTATCAGATATCCCGAAGGACTTAGGTCGGGGCAATGCCCCCGCTGTCTTTCAGAAATCTTCACTGCCGCAGCTTCGCCTTGGAGTGCGAACCAAGCCCCCGTTTCCTGGATTTATACATGCCAGCCGGGCGCAAGGACCCATGCGAATCTTCACTGTTTCGTTCCGATTTTATCGGATGTCCCGAAGGACTTTCGCCACGCCAGCACCCCAGCAGCCTCTCAAGGTGTCGCACGCACCTGACCCCATCTGCGCCCGGGGTCACTCCCGGGCCCCACGCACCGTTCTTGCACCGTGGCCACACTCGTCCGTACCTCAGCGCTTCGATCTTCCTAACAGCGCCCCGAGACCCCTTGGAAATCAGCGGTCCATGGTGTTTCTATGGGACATCACACAGTCCCACTCGCCCCAAACTCAGCACAGGCCTTTGTTTCCCCAGTTTGTGGGCGTATCCACCTTAGCAGACCAAAAGGCCCAGACGGTCGGCCCAGAGGCCAGGGCCCCGACCTCTTATAGCCCCCCCAAAAAAAAAACAAAGGGGGGGGGGGGAGAAAACTTGAACAACAACAACGGATTTGTAACAACGCAAACTACGGTCCCTGCCAGCGCCCCTTTTTCCCCACGGCGCGGCCCACGATCGGATCCCCAAAGGACGGAACAAAAGGAGGATAGTCCCTCAGGACCCTCAACCCCTCCGCTCGGTCGATGCTCCGCTGCTCCTATACCAGCGTCCGCCGGCCTCGATCCCCGAGCCTCCGTAGCGGTAATCCGACACCGTAACCTATAGAGCTAAGCCCAAGCCTGAGACCATCGGACATAGTTTCCAACATAAAGTGATGTCGCATGACACTTCGGGCCAGGACACCACCGCGGCCACTCTTTCAGCCCATATTTGTACGCACGGCCCCCAGGTGTCCGCATCGGCCTACCATCCTGCGACATTGCCACCCCTCGCGCCAGCCTGCGCGCCACCACCGGTCGCACGTGCCAATCAAAGCGAGCTATCGCCCCCTAATCAAACCAGTCACCCGGTCCGGGTCGGTCGGCTACCCCTGCCGCCCACTCAATCAGAAACATCACACGCGCACCTTAAAATTGCGCGCCCACGTACTCCCTACTGGGACAAGGCAGACCTTTGCCTACGTGCGGGCGACCCTCGCATTTCCCCGCACGGGCACTCAGAATTCAGGTTAACCGAGCCTTTCTGTCGCTTGCAAAAACCAGGGCGGATACCCTTGTAAGGGTATTCGCGCCGACAACGCAGTTTCAAATGCAATTGAAACTCGGACCCTGACTAAACTGCTAAAACGCAGTTTCAAATGCAATTACAAAATATAACCCTGTCTGCGCGGTAGTTTTCTCTTTTTTTTTAAATGTTTGGCCGAACACGTTCGGAAGGCATTCGGCTGAATATGTTCGGGAGAAGTTCGGTCGAACACCCGAACATGTTCAGACATTCAGAAAAGCTCCGAACATGTTTGGTGTGCTATACAGGTTTAAACCTAAGCCGTTATCCCTTAACCCATACCCCTTATCCTCATTTGTGTGCACCTAATCCCTCACCCCTTATCCGTGAACCTTGTATCATAAACCACTAACACTATATCCCCCGTTCTTTCCCTGCAAGGTATTGAACTCCCACCCCTTATGCCTCACATCTTTCAATGCATCCCATATCCAAAACCCTTATCCCTTACCCCTTACCCCTTTGCCCCCAACTTGCTCACTAAAAAAACCTGAAAAAATGACTCACAAAAAGGTAGGTTCGATCTCGTTTAAAAACTATAAAATAAGGTTGTTGGATCGGACGTCTGGGACCCCCCTGACCGT